GATGGCACGCTCAGGGGGCTGCATTAAGGGCTCTCCTGTCAACTTGCTCCTGAGTAGCAAGTCAGAAATGCAGAATGTTCTGGAGGAAAGCACTAGAAGGTCTGAGTTAAAAGGCAGGGGAATGTACAAGGAGGGTGTCAAAAAACCTTCTGCGGAAAGAGGTCCTCTGCCATTCAATAAAGACCCAAGAGTAGATGTACGAAGGCCGGATCATCAAGACTCAAGGAACAGGCCCTCCCCATCTTCATTCGGTGAGATACGACACCAGAGAGAAGCGGAAGTGCCAGAGAGAGCGGATCTTTACTTAAAGTTGACAGGGATGCCATTCTCTGCAACAAAGGATGACGTCCATAAATTTTTCCTTGGGATAAAGATTGAAGATGTTCTGTTTTTGAGAAACCCCAGAGGAACGTTCAACGGACAAAGTATTGTGCGCTTGGCTTCCAAAGAAGATGTAATCGAAGGTCTGAAAAGGGATCGACTTTACATGGGGGCACGGTATATACAACTATCAAGATGCTCCGAGGAGCAGTGGCTGGCAGCAGGAGGTGTCCCCAGACAGGACATCCGGAAAAGACCGTCCTTAGAGCGTACGAGATCTCGATCTCCCGTTTCCTTCAGGTCTAGATCACGCTCGCCCGCTCACGAAGAATACTGCATCATGTTTGAGAACTTGCCTCATGTGGTTGAAAAGAGGGATTTGAGGATGTTTCTTCAGCCGGTTACTTTGAAGGATGACCAGATTATTATCTTTGCCCAAAAAAAGGACGACGATAAGACCAAATCGGCTGTTGTGGTGTTTAGGAATCTCACAGACTATTGTGCTGGCTTGGCTCATAATAAGGAATTGTTGCTGCATAAGGTAGTGTACGTGTCACCCATCTCCAAGGAGAAAATGGTCACCTTGTTGGAATCGTCCATTGACGAGAGAGATGAGGTGAAAGGGTCGAGACGATCAGCTGAAGTGCCCCAGCCTCAACGAAACACTCTTGACTCTCAGTTGAAGTGTGTCTACGTACGCAATCTCCCATTTGATGTTCGCAAGGTGGAGATCATGGACTTTTTTCATGGATTTCCACTTTCGGAGGATAGGGTTGTCTTATTGCATGACGAAAGAGGAGCTGGGCTCGGTGAGGCGTTGGTGATCTTCCAGTCTGAGAAGGAAGCCATGACGGCACAGTCCCTAAACGGAAAGAGGTTTCTTGGATCCGAGGTCATGCTTAAGTGCATAACAATGGCCCAGATGCAGAATTTTGGTGTGAATGAGCAGTTTACGGTAAGCCCACAAGAAAGGAACGAAATTTTGAATGATGGTCCTCGTTTTTCGAACACCCAGATGCCTCGAGATGATTGTGAGATGCAGCCTAATTTGCGCCAGGATTTTGGAGGTCTTGATCGCTTTGAGCCTAATTTTGGCCGGAATAATGCATTTGGGCCAGGAATGGATGGTAATGGAGGTCAATGTTTCGGATCATCTGACCAACAACTTGATGGTCCGACTGGTGTTAAATTGCTCAATCTACCATCTCAGATAAGGATCGATGAGATTTATGATTTCTTCTATGGATACAGATTTATTCCAGGATCTGCTTCATTGCAGTATGACAGAAATGGAGCTCCCAGGCGTGCTGCAACCGTAGTGTTCGAATCCCACAGGGAGGCGCTCACTGCTCTTCAAGAATTAAATGGAAGACCAATTGGCACCAGGAAGATTCAGATTGTGTTTGATTAGATATGCTTTTGGGATACAGTATTGATTAAGCTTTTATTTCTTTCTCTTTTAAGTTGAATGTGCATTTTCAGTGATTTGACAAGTGCCGACATGTTTTCTTTTTTTGAAATACTGCTTTAGTTTAGATTCATCTTGATTATTCGGAAATGATGCATGTGTATGCATGCCAGTGACAGTATCTAGACTCAGTATTATTTGTGCTGTTATATATTTCCCCCCCAGAGTAATGACTGTTCTAATTTTATGAGATTTCACTGTACATATTTCAGTAATATTTGGTTTTGAGATGAAAGCAGATTTAAAAGATTCTTCTTAATATTGTGAGATTGTGAATTTCCTCCTACATCCATAAAACTGTCATTTCATGTTCAATGCTATTAAAGACATCAGTGTGATCTTCTGATTTCTTTCTTCTAAGTGTGTTTTCTTTTTTGTGGTTGTCCACAGTAGGTTTATTATTCACGGATTGTATGGTTTAATTTGCAATCCAGTAATAATAATTAGCATTTTAATTAAGTCTGAATTATAATTTTAAAATGCCTTGATTACCAATATAATCTATAGTCTAGGGAGGGTGGTCAACTCCAACTCACTTGCCTGTTATTAACAAGGAATCCTGAACACAGAGACTGCATCTGAAAGCACTCACTCTCTTAGTTTGTTCTTATAGGGGTAGCCAAGTAATTTTTATAGCGCTAAAAAAGTAGTATGAATGTAACCTTAACTGTCATATGACCTATCACCATCAGTTGTGTCCTCTCCAGTGGCTTCATGAGGTAAAGTGTCCATGTGCACTTCAGAATCTCGCTGGAAATGGAAGGTCAACTAAGTACTTTTTGCCAACTTTTTTATAAGTCCTGTGAATTGATGCATTTACCATGTAGTTGGGTATATATATATACGGGGGATAGCCTTCCAGGATAAGGGTTGGCTAGTGCTACCCCTGATCCATCCACATTTTTTTAACACAAGATCAGATACAGCCATTTTTACCTTGAGATGTGCAAGGTGCTTCCAGTTATTTGCTGTTCAAAATAAGTCCATTGCAGTGCTCAATACAGCAAAATGGTATTTGCAGTCATATTTGAACTCACTGTAGTGCAAATAGTTTCACTATTTAAGGCATATAAAGCCTTAAATAGTGAAAAATATAAAGCTTTATAAAGCTTTATTGTATGGCAACAGCTAAGCTACATATTGTATAATTATATATGTATTATTATTCCATGTTTCAATGGTTGTCTCACAACATTTGTTGACGTGATAAAGTAAATTTAAAGAACATTTTTAGAAAAAACATGGACTAATGGTCTGATTTTTGCATGCAGCCTATAAAATGTTTTAATGCCATACAGACCATGCATTATTTCACATTATTACTGTGACTAATAATGTGAAATAATTTAAAATGCACATAACTAGATTTCTGTAGGCGTACCATGCAACATCAAGTATCACAACATCAATTGTCTATTTTAAGCAACTGAATCAGTATTTAATGAATTATGTATATGCCTATTTATATGTATAATGACATATATATTCATGATATATGACAATATATATGATATATATATTCATTTTGCCTTACAAACTGTAGCTCATTGTCATGAGGCCATTTTTCCAGGTAATTCAAACAGCAGCTGACAGCAATTTTAACAGCAATCAGTCAAATACAACCCGGCTTGTCATACTCATATAATGAAAAAGAAGAGGCCACTAGGGGGAACTGCAGCACAGCGGATACTGTAAAAAACAACTAAAAAAAGAAAAAGAAAGGTAATGAAAAATTTGTATGTGGTTAGAAATAAATTTGAAGTAAGAGTTTGGGACAACATCATGCATGAAAAGGGTGCAAAAATCACGTAATAGCCTACATTAAAGACAATGGTCATGTTGTCACATGTAGGGTGCAACCAAAAAGCCATAAATTATAGGAGTTAAATTAAGAGATTTAATTTTTTTTTTACGCAAAGTACGTGCTAGGCCTATGTGCATCAATGTGATTTCTATTGTCTGTTATTGACAGAAGAGTTTCAGGAAACAAGTGCACAAGCAACAGGTTGGTATTGAGGTCATGTTATTAGGTCACAATGGCCAGTGCAAAGGTTTTGTGCATAGTCAAGTAAACCTAAAGCAAAGGTCTGGGTGAGAAGTTGGTGCACAGGTGAAAAGGGGAAACAATAAGCCTTTGTTTCTGAAAACTAGTTAGAAAAGTTTGTTCAGCAAGTTGGCAGTCAAAGCCTTGGGCTTCCAACTAAACAAACTGGCAACACTAAAGAAGTTAAGTGACTTGAACAACACACCATGGAACCTGTGTTTTTTGGGCTCGAGTTCACAAGTTCACCAGACCAAGAAGCTTAGTCTACTAGTTCAATTAAAGGAGTAGTTCACTTTAAAAAAAAAAAAAAACTTTTGCTGATAATTTACTCACCCTCATGTCATCCAAGATGTCCATGTCTTTCATTCTTTAGTCGAAAAGAAGATTTTTGATAAAAACGTTCCAGGATTTTCTCCATATAATGGACTTCATTGGGAACCAAACGGTTCAAGGTCCAAATGAGACCATTTTTCAGTGCAGCTTCAGAGGGCTTTAAACGACACCAGACGATGAATACGGGTCTTATCTAGCTTTAAGTTTAAATTTTATAAGCACAAATGCTCGCCTTACTCTGTTCTGTGATGAGCGTTCGTGACTCCTCAAACTCGTTCATCAAAATTCACAAATCTTTTTTTTCGAGTCATGACTCGAAGGGTCCTAGATAAGACCCTTGTTCATCGTCTGGTGTTGTTTAAAGCCCTTTAAAGCTGTACTGAAACTCATTTTGACCTTGAACCGTTTGGTTCCCATTGAAGTCCATTGGGCTATATGGAGAAAATCCATGAATGTTTTCATCAAAAATCTTAATTTCAACTGAAGAAAGAATGATGTGGACATCTTGGATGACATGGGGGTGAGTAAATTATCAGCAAAAGTTTTTTCAAAAGTGAACAACTTTACGTGAAACTTGCCTTTTACCTGTCTGAATGCTTAAACCTCATGACCAAATCATAACTCAAAGCCTTTCGAGGATTAATGTACCTATATCAGTGGGTGTAGCTACTAAATGATTTTTGCATCATTGCATCTTTTTTTTTTTTTTTGGGCCGACCAAAGTATTATTTAATTTATTTATTTTAATTATTATTTTGCAAAACTCGCTGACAATCAAAGATATGGATAATCACTGTAATTATTATTTTTAATATTATTATTTTATGTAGCCTATGTGATGTTGGGTGAGTTCAGAGTGATAATGAACGCACAGACGGAGTCACGAGCTCAGGGGAATGAATTTGTTTGGAAATGACAGAGACAGACAGCGCGGTGACTGAGGCTGGACGCTACAGTGAGAACAACATGTAAGTTGCCAGTATTATATTTGCTCGTTTATTTTTGACTGATTGTGTTGTGACATTCTTTTATATTTTTGTCTATCGTAAAGACGATATGTGGAGAGAAAAAAATGTGATTATCAAGGGAAAAGTTCGCTGTCATGGTGGCTAGCAGCTAGCAGCACCGTTGATGCCGATTGAGTCAGATGAAGTTCACGCCACCTTTATTTTTTTTAATATTTTACACTTATGTCGGTTTTATTTAACAACGGTATGCCCCGTTCCAGTTTTTACAGTTCTGCAGGACACTTCGATTGTTTTTTTTAAAAAAGTATTTTTTCATGACTTATCGTCGTGTGAAATATTAAAACCTAATTAAAACTGAATAACATTAAATGTGTGGATTTGCGTTTGGTAGCTTATCTATCAATATGTAGAGTAATCTATCCTCATAACTTTTCCGAGGGGTTTTGTATTTGCATTCAAAATGCAGCAACAGATCTGAATACATCACCTGACCTTGTACTAACGTTAGTTAGATTGGTGACTAACGTTATCTGACTGCCTCAGTTGTAATCCCTATGGTTGTAATGCACTGGACAGGTTAATTGTCTGAATCAAGATAATACCCAATTAAACAGTGATTACAGAAGCCAAGAAAACAGCTAGTGATCTACAAATAACCATTGTGGGCATCTTGAAAGTTGCATTTATAGGCTAGCCTAAACAATAAATGAATGTAATCCTAATAGCATGTTAACCGATTTAATTAACTTGATTAAAGCATGAAAGTCAAGGGCATGAAAATGATATTCTGATAAAATCATATACCTATTTATGAGCTTCTTTTTTTCAGTTTTACTCAGACTTGATCCGTATCTTTGTGGGAAGTAATCTTACATTTGAGTTATTAAGTAAACATTTGAACTTTAATACTATAATGTTTTTAGACAATAATTTGAAAAGAAAAAATGTGTAACTGATTATATCTCGCCCATCCATGTGGAGTTTGTGGAGCATCCAGATTTGACTTGTCAATGGAAATTGATGAAAATGCAAATGAAAACACATGCATGTTTGTCACACATTAATATGCTGAAATATTTGTCCTTTAGCAGAAGAATGGACAAGAGGATTGTAAAAAATCTGGAACCAGCAAGACCACTGCGCCGTCAAGGTTTAAAATGTGAATGTTCTCACTAAGTTTTATTCTTAAAAATACAAAACACTGTCACTGTTTCATTTGATGCAAATTTTGATTTCTTATGTATCATTTTCTGTGTGTATTGGTGTGTTTGTATGCTTCTTTGGATATTTCGCTTATAGTGCCTCAAAGCTGTGCTGAGATTAAGCCAGTAAGTCCAATTTTATTGTTCTAAGATAATATTGATGTTTTGGATTTTAATTGTAGCTGCTGGCCTCTTCTTTTCTTATCTAATTACTCTGAAAGAGTGTATTTTTTCTGTCAGATAACTGTTTTTCCTGTTGACAGGACAACATTATTAAAGTGGAGCATTTCTATGAAATCCTGCATCTTCAAAGTCCTCAACCAAAGAAGAAAGTCACGTGTCCACCTCAATGCACTCTTCAAAATAAAGGTGCTCTTTTTGGTATTTATGGTCCAATGGAAAAATGTCACTGCCATGGAGCCTTTTAATTGCACATAAAATTAGTTTTAGATCATTTAAAATATATGTCACCAGTGTTGGGGAAAGTTCACTTTCTACATGAACCAAAGTTTAGTTCACCAATTTTAAAATGAACTAGTTCAGTTCACAGTTCATACTTCACAATTTTGAACTAAGTTCACAAGTTCCAAAAATGAACTAGTTCATTGCTGCAAACTATTTTTTAAACTTGTTTTATTATTATTATTATCATTATTGCCACAGCCCATATACAACCACAGACAGCAATTGTTTTATCGGCGTGCAAAGTTTGCACAGAAATGTACGATTTTTCTCATCCTCATCGACCTTGTCATAAAACTAATTTAAATGATCATTCATACGACGTCTTCTTGTCTTGATGACGCATGCGGCGGTGCGTCCGACACTGGTGTCTTGTGTTGCCAGATATTAACATATTAAGGCCTGTGTACAATGTGTTTTAGCTGGGTTTTCCTCTGGAAGGCTCTATAGAAATCTGGCACCCAATTGGCTTTATGCACAGCTGCACTACTTCCTGAACTTAAGCCAGCTTGTTTCCTGTCTGCTATTATTGGCCAAACTTGATTAATTCAGGTGTGTCTGATTATTGTTGCCATGACTACTGGAGTCAGGCACACCTGAATTAATCAGTTTGGCCAATAATGGCAGACAGGAAACAAGGAGCTGGCTTAAGTTCAGGAAGTAGTGCAGCTGTGCATAAGGCCAATTGAACGAAGTTAAAGTGCGTGAATTCACAGATACCAGAATCAATGAGTTCACAGTACCGTTCACCAGGCAGTAATACAGTACGTTCAGTTCAGTAACGTACGCATCGGAAAAAATGTACACGCGCATACCGTTCCACAAAACTGGTGAACGATCTCAGCTTCACCAGTCTGCAGACATTTGTTCATCCTTTCCTTGTTGATGACGAACACAAACTTTCTTCTAAGAGCAACAGAGTCGCACGATGGCACGAGCGTCATCACTATGACACACCCCTTACGGCATTGGTTCTTTCTTTTGTTCACACAGCGCGTGTTCCGGGACTGACCCCAACCGGCATCGATGCCGGTATCAATCCCGGGTCGTGTTTGCGTTCACACAGAAGGGTTTCTGGCAATTTCCCGGGGTCAACGCGCTGTGAAAAAGGGGCTAATATTAACATATTGACTTCCCCGTTCCCACCAATTTCAAAATCAAATCTACGCCACTATTTTGCTGGGATGAATCCTACTCTGAAGTTGGATCGGATTGAGTCCAATGAGTGGAGCTTTCATCTAGCTCCTCCTCGCTAGATGTCCAGCGATGAGGAGCAAATGCAATTTGGGTCTAATGGGTGAAGCTAGAATATCCAACCAGACCCTAACCCTATTCACTACTCTATCCCTCCACCACATTAGATGTCCAGAGAGGTGGAGCTGGACGTCATTTGACTCTGCAGCGAGTACCTCTTGAAAGGCGTTCATATAACTTATATTGTTCTCAGTTCCTGTGGGGTGAACAAACCAAAAAACTGGTACTTCTGCCAATTGTTAAAATAACTATGAAACCGTTCCTCTGGTGCAAAAGCCTTTTGGAGCCTTTATTTTTAATAGTGTAAACTTTACAGAAGTATTAGGGAGATGACTATATCTGGAATTAGAAGTAAAACAGTGGGATGATAATATAGAGTACAGGTTCATTTTATTAAAGTAGACCTAATAATACTTTTTTTATTATTATTATTTTTACTGTAGCTGAAAGAATTTGCTACACTCGGGACTTCCTCATCAAGATGGCAAGTTGTCCAATAGCTAAGAAGAAACCTGAGTTTTTACCAGAACATCCAATCGTTTTGGAGAATGGAGTGAGTTATCCACAGATTTTATTTGATTTTTATAGGTGTGTGTGTGATAATAAAAATGCATAGCACAACTTCTGATTATCATCTTTTTACCCAATCTAGAGGTCCAATGCCATGCCCAGATACTTTATCACCAACTACAATGATAACAACAACCGCAACGACGAGGACTTGTAAGTGCATTCATCAAACTAAAATCGCAACCAATGCAAGAGTTGAACTGCATATTAACGGTTTCACTTAGGGGATGATTAACAGTTTATCTATGTACATTTCTTTACACAGGGCTGCCTGATGTGGAATTTCTTAGTCTTTTTATACAATAGTCTAAAACTGCACTGCACATGTGGGCCAAAGTGGAAAGTGTTAAAAAAAATGATTATCACAAGTTAATTTAATAACTTTCATTGTTATAAAAGGTAAAACCACCTGAGGTTGTCCTTGAATTCTTGAACACATTTGTATTCTATGTAGGTGTTGCAATGCTTGTTCCTAACTAGTCCACAGTACAGTGTTAAATGATACTACTAACAGGACTGATGCCTTGATCCTTGTAAAAGATTCCACATCCTAATTTGTTGTTTTAAACTCACTCTTTGTCCTTTCTTTGACCATAGTTTTTCATTTTACCTTATCAGACGGTGGTGATGTCGAACTCAGGCTTTTGATCCTTGCCTAATGTAGGTTGTGTGTGTTGCTAGTCTAGTTTCATGATCTGCTGTGTGGAAATTTAATTATTGTGGGGATTTGGACTTGAAGTGTTTAAGATTGAAGTGAAGTGCTCTTAAAATTATATAGACTTCTAGCGAGTTCATGCGTCAGATTGGGAATGTGTTCACTTTGCTTAATTGTATTAACACTGGACATTATGGCAAGTAAAACAGAACTGCCACTATCTTTTGACAATTATTGAGCCTGTGGATGGGTAATGATAAGCTTTTGTTTTACCCCCCCCCCCCCCCAAGCATAACACTGAAAATAGATCTCTTTTGTTTACATATGCCAATGTTTGAAATTTATTTAACTAATTTCTGTAAAGTGTATTAGAACACAGAATAATACGTGTTTGTTACAGTACTGTAGCCCTTTCAGTATTATAATATTGTCTTATTAGGGGTTGCTAAAAATAGTTAAAAAACAACAACCACTCTGGATCTTATGCAAGGATCCCCCCACCCATGATTTGCACATCTGGGCAGAGGCAATATTTGTTTTTGTTTTTTGTATCTCACTGTAATTTGTTGACTCATTGTCTTAGAAATTGGATTTGAGATTGGATTTATTCCACTAAATTCATTACATTCAATAAAAGAACATGTTTTAGTTGCTCTTCTGCTTTGTTTTATTGAATTCATTGCATTTTATATATACTGTGTGTGTGTGTGTGTGTATATATTCGTGCTCAGAATTAATGGTACCCTTGGTAAATACTCCCCTTTTATTCAGAAAATTGCCAAAACGAACCTTAAATTTAAGTAAAAGAATTGAAAGTGTGAGGGAAAATCACATATTGAAGTAAATGTTTTTCTCCAAAACACGTTGGCCACAATTATTTGCACCCTTTTATTAATACTTTTTCCAATGTCCTTTTGCCAAGAAGATAACAGTTTTCTCCTATAATGTCTGATGAGTTTGGAGAACATCTGATAAGAGATCAGAGACCATTCCTCCATACAGAAACTCTCCTGATGATACCCAGATCCATGTTGGTGCTTTTTCTGTCCAGTTCACCCCACTCATCAGGTCAGGGAACCAGTAGCACCTCATTGCAGTACATGAGATCCAGGGGGTGGAGTTGGCTCCAGATCTAAGGGGTGGAGATGGGTAGGATTAGGGGTGGGGTTATGGATCAGGGGGTGGATTTAGGTATATGTAAGGTGGATTTTGGATTTTTTGGATTTCTGGATTTTGTGTTCTGCTGTGAGGACCATCTCCAGCGAATTGGGACCGTCATGGCAGAAGCTTAATTTTGTGCTCCGTAACAAATTTTTGTGTTGATTTTGATGTTTGTTTTGGACCGTTGTCCTGATGGAAGGTCCAACCATGGACCATTATAAGATTTCTGAAGAAATCAGGTTTTAATTTTTTTTTTTATCTGTTGATATTTGATAGAATCCACAATGCCATCTGAACATGAAGTCCAGAACCTCCAGCAGAAAAATATGCCCGCAACATGAAAGATCCAACTGTTTATTAAATTGTACACATGGGGTAGGCCTACTTTTTATTGTGTGCACCAAACCCATCTGGCGGGTTTGCTGCCAAAAAGCTCTTTTTATTTATTTTTTGTTTCATCTGACCACAGAACCCTGTCCCGTTTGAAGTTCCGGTCATGAATTTGCTGAAGTTTGTTCTTGGATGAGCGAGGAAGATTTTTCTTGAAACCCTCCCAAACAACATGTGGTGATTTAGGAGTTGTTTGATTTTTTTTTTTTTTTTTTTATAGACTTTCTGACCCCAAGAATCAACTAATCTCTGTATTTCACCATCTATGATCCTTGAAGAGTCTTTGGCCACTCAAACTTTCCTTCAGTCCTCAACGTGCATTAAGGGAATATGAACACACGGCCTGTTCCTGGCAAATTATGGAATTTGGCCTTTGTGTTTCCTCATATTGAGTCATGGTTGGACAATTTCATGTTCCTAGTCCTCCTATATGATAAAAAAGGTAAACATTTTATGGGAATATATTTCAGAGATATTTTACTCGTAAAAAATTCAAATAATTGTGGCCAAAGTGTTTTGGAGAAAAACATTTATTCCATATTGTGATTAAATCCCCCCCCACTTTCAATTCTTCAATTCAAGGTTAGTTTTTTGGCAAGTTTTTAAATGAAAGATCAAAAGGATAAATGATGAAGATTTATTTTTTACTGACAGTTTTGATCATATTTACCAGGGGTACCATTAATTCTGAGTATGTATCTATAGGTGTGTGTATATATTGTTTGTAATTTATTTCTTTGATGCAAAGCTTAAGTTTCAGCATCATTACTTCAGTCTTCAGTGTCACATGATCATTCAGAAATCATTCTAATATGCTGATCTATTTATTATCAATGTTGGAAACAGTTGTGCTGCTTAATATTTTTTGGAATGTGGTAACACCTGTGAATAAAAAGTAAAAAAGTTTAGCATTTATTCAAAATAGTAGTCTTTATCATTTTTTTATCAATTTAACATATCATTGCTAAATTAGTCTTAATTTCTTTAAAATGTAACTAACCTTAAACATTTGAATGGTAGTGTATAGTTACAAAAGTTTTTTTTTCTAAATAAATACTGTTCTATGTTTTTACTTTTTATTAAAATTAGCATAGAATGATTTCTGGAGGATTGTGTGACCGTTAAGACTGGTTTAATGATGCTGATCACAGAAATAAATTATAAACTATATTAAAAAAGAAAACCATTTGTTTAAATTGTAATATTTCACATTATTTATTTTTTCCTCTGTATTTTGATTAAATAAATGCAGGCTTGATGAGCAAAGGAGACTCCTTTCAAAAGCATTAAATAAAAAATGTGTGCTATTGTTCAAAATTATTAAAAGTTAGTGAAAAACATCTATAGTTAATGTAATGTGATTTCAGGTAAATTAAGCAACTTCTGTAATTAAAAAGTAGCTCCATGTTATGACATCAGTGGCGTCAGTATCCAGCCGATCTAGCCCTTATCCTGTTCGTTGCTAATGCTATGAAGTATGGCAAGCCATTTTATAATTTAACAGCTAGACTCTGGCTCAACTCCGGTTCAAGATATCTTTAATTCACTTCAATTCAAGATATCTACATGTTCCATTTCAGATATCTTAAATTAAGTTTTGACTAGGCGAAATGACGTTGTAGATCTGTAACTGGGATTATGGCTAAAGTCAAAATGGTGTTGTGTAGACAACTCAAACTGGAGTTAGGGATAGTAATTGAATTGTAGATATCTATTATCAAGTTATAGATATCTTGAAATGAATTTTGATTAGAGATATCTGAAATTAGAGATATCTGCCTAGTTAAAATTAGAGCATATTAGGGGGTGGTGATGGCTCAGTGGATAAGACACATGCCTTTGGTGTGAGCGACCCCGGTTTGAATCCATGTGAGACACCAATGTGTCCCTGAGCAAGAAACTTAACCCATAATTGCTCCAGAAGCGTGCGACCTCTGACATATATAGCAATTGTAAGTCGCTTTGGATTAAAGCGTCAGCTAAATGAATAAATGTCAATGTACTGTAAAAGTAGTTTTGACTAGGCGAAATGACCAAGTTAATCCATCGACCGGAAGTTGAAGCCTCGCGGGAGCTGACATCTTGTAGCAGAACTTCACTTGCGTTCAGTGCCGGCGCTATGGGGGGGCATTAGGGGGCAATGCCCCCCCAAATGTATTTTGTGCCCCCCCCAAATTGAATTATGATATAATTTACAAAATAATATCAGTTTAATTTAATTCACATTTCAGTGAGAAATAGTACAAATATATGTCTACAAACGGCTCATTAGCTGAAAATACAATAAAGCCAACATAAAAACCAGTGTGACGCTGTGAGGAAACCCCCCTGCCGCCCCCCCCAATCACGCACGTTAATACTTGAATGAAATGATTTTCAGTTGGCGCGACCGCGCAAGCTTCCTGCATTCAAAACAAAGCAAACAGATGAAAACTCTCCAAAAATGGAAATTAGAAAATGGTTCAATACCACAGTTTCTCCTTACACATCGATTACTCCATACAGCAAGACAACGACAGCCCGGCTTTGGTATTTGGTGCTTCTACCGTGCAGTGTTGTAGTCGAGACCGAGACCAAAGACAGTCGAGTCCGAGTCGTAAGTGTAGCTATTTATCTAACTGGCATGTACTGTAATGTTCACTATGTGTTGTCACGTGATAAAACTAATAGTTTAGTTGGCCTAGTTTTTGCGCTGCCCGTTGTCCTGAAATGTCACTCACTCCCGCCGTGGAGAAACAGGTGTTTAAGCCTATATTTTCTTGTAAATGGAAATTGTAGAATAATATGTTGTGGGTGTTTTTTATTTGTTAAAGGTGTTAAAGGTTTTATTTGATAAAGGTAACTACATGATGCTTTTTTAAGGCTACGAATGTAAATGCTTATGTTAGAACATAGCCAAATAAAGATGAGTAACTTAGCTTTTTTTTCTCACTTCCGCCATTGAGATAGCATATAAACGGCTATTCTGTCAGTGAGAGACTATGTACATGTTCGTTAGCTTTGCTATTATAAAGCTGTGGTCAGAGTCGGTCTTGCAATTTTTTTTTTTGTATAGGCCTATTTAACCCTTGATCAAATTTCTTAAGAGTCGCTCGTCTTGCAACAATGTGTAATGTTTTATGTGTTTATTGTGTGGGTTGCATTACTTCATGTTAATAGCTAACAGAAAAGGCAGTAGCAATAATAAATATAAGATATCTAATATCGGAAAAAAAGTCCCCATACCTACCTAGTGCCCACCCATTGAAAATAAATGCCCCCCTGCTAAAAGCGGTCTGAAGCCGGCTCTGCTTGCGTTAGCATTCCCATTAATAGTGAAACTTAGCTTTGAAATGCTAAAATGGCTTGCCATAGAAGGACTTTTCAACTGCCAAATCCGTTGCCTCATCTAGCTCATCCTGCCGCAGGAGGCGGGGCTTGTGGGGAAAAAAAACCCACTATTCTCGTGCGGTGGCATCACGTACACCAGCGGCACAGCCGGATGTTTTACAGCAACCGCAACTGACAGAAACCGGTATTTTAAGTGACCTTCTCGGTCGACACAGGACGCGTTATAAACATCTCACGGTAACGAACACTGAGCTTCATTGAGAGACTCTATTCTTTAAGGAGTGGTGTTTTAGTCCATTTTATTGCTCGACAAAGTTAATTCTGCGTAGATTTAACTTGACGTGAGTTGTCATAACGTTAACAGACGATTTTTTTACGTGGAAAAGTGTTGGAAACCTGTTGGTGTCCATCTCAGGAGAAAACTGAAAATGCCGCTGGATGAAGAGAAGAATGGAGCATGCGATAGGTACGAATGAATAACGTGTTAGTGTATTCATTTATGTCATTATTCTTTATTGTGCATGGGCTTTCAGCCCTTCCGTTTGATATGCCCTTGAATGATTTATGTAAATATTACATATTCTTTACGCAACAAAGCATCACTGAATAAATGACAGATTTAATTCACTGGGCACAAATGTTTCGTTTAAATTAATTCCGTTTTATGAGAAGTGATACAAAACGGAAATTATGTTCTTCACCTCGCTCTTCTCACGAGTCACGACCCCTGGGTTATAGTCCTCCCGACTGACTGTTGTTGTTGGTATGGTGTTTTGTTAAAATGTAACTTTAAACCGTTGTACATACCATGAGCTATGCTGTGTCACACCTGACTGTCAAACTTGGATTTCCCCTGAATAGGTCAATATATGTGAACAATCCCCATTTAGACTCCATGACAGATGACATCCTTTACCATTTTAACCTGGGAACATCCACTCACGACTTGGCAGCGATGTTTGGAGATGTCAAAGTAAACTTTATTTCCTTTTCACTCTAAAATATAACACCTTCAGAATGATCTGGGTCTGTCTATTCACTTGGTTGGACTTTTTGTCTCAGTTTGTGTGTGTAGGGGGAAGTCCATGGAGGATGAAGTCTTTCACTGAATACATTGCCAAAGAACTGGGGCTTTCAGACCCCAACACAGAATATCCAAATATATGTGCAGGAACCGATCGCTACGCAATGTACAAAGTTGGACCTGTGCTGTCTGTCAGTGTGAGTGAACTCAAACTCATCCATATGCAATGAAAATAAAAAAATTCTGTCATTAATTACTCAACGTCATGTCATTTCAAACCTGTAAGACTCATTCATCTTTGGAACAATCATAGAGAGATCGTAAAACTAATCCACATTGATTGAGTGGCTTAGTCCAAATTTTCTGAAGAGACATGATTGCTTTATATGATGAACAGATGGAATTTAGGCTTTTTATATAACTATTCACCAACTCACATCAGTTATGATAAACGGAAGCTCAAGCATGTTCGCTTGTCGTGAGAGAACCAATGAGGTTAATTCCTGTATTGTGCTGCACGTTTGAGCTCCCTCAAGAACCAATTAGGTTTGTTCTTGCATGTCAAGCAGATTCGGTTGAGCTTCTGTTTATGTTCGCTGATCAGTGTTTACTATTTAAATGTGAATAAAAGCCTAAATTAAATCTGTTCATCATATAAAGCGATCGTGTCTCTTCCGAAAATTTGGACTAAACGCTCAGTTCATATGGATTAGTTTTACGCTCTCTTTATGAACTTTTTGAAGTCAAAATGTCAGTTGCGTAGCTGTCTATGGAGGGACTGAAAGACTTCTCAGATTTCATCAAAAAGATCTTCATTTGTGTTCTGAAGATAATAAAGTGAAATGTGATGATGATGATAAGAAATGTTTCTTGAGCACCAACTCATATGAGAATGATTTCTGAAGGATGAAACTAAGTATGTTTACATGCACTCATTTTATTGGGAATGAATGTTCACAAGATCATTTTGAACCTGACTGAGAAATCACATTCAGGTGTTTGCATGCTTAAAGGAGTAGTTCACTTTAAAAAAAAAAAAAAAAACTTTTGCTGATAATGTACTCACCCCCATGTCATCCAAGATGTCCATGTCATTCTTTCTTCAGTCGAAAAGAAGGTTTTTGATGAAAACATTCCAGGATTTTTCTCCATGTAATGGACTTAAATGGGAACCAAACGATTCAAGGTCCAAAAAACAGTTTCAGTGCAAACTGTTCAAAGGGCTTCAAACAATTTCAGACGATGAATTAGGGTCTTATCTAGCGAAACGATTGCTCATTTGAAAAAAAAACAACAACCAAAGTTTAAGTTTTATAAGCTCAAATGTTCACCTTGCTCTGTTCTGTGATGCGCGTTCGTGACTCTCCTGTTTGAACTCGTTCATCAAAATGAACAAATCTTTTCCAGAGTCAACTCATTCATTTCATTCGTTGAATGAACCAAATGACACGAAAAAAGATTTTTCGACTGAAGAAAGAATGACATGGATATCTTGGATGACATGGGGGTGAGTAAATTATCAGCAAAAGTTTTTTTTAAAAGTGAACTACTCCTTTAATACATCATGCTACATGCATCAGGCCATAATTAAATTTAGATCAAGCTCTGTCAGATCGATTGAGGTTTAGGTCATTGTAAATGAAGTTTGTCTGAATATTAACACTGAATATTATCTATGTTCTAGCATGGCATGGGCATCCCATCAATCTCTATAATGTTGCATGAGCTTATCAAGCTCCTGTACCATGCCCGCTGCACTGATGTCACCGTAGTGCGCATCGGAACGTCGGGTGGAATAGGTACGCTGCTTTTGCCATTGAACTGCTTAATCAAAAGGGTGTTTCCATGCTTTCAACATCAGCTCCAACCCCACCCTGGTGTTGTAAACCATGGGATTTTTGTGAATCATTTTGTGAATCAGTCTCAATTAAAGGGTTAGTTCACCCAAAAATGAAAATTAAGTCATTAATTACTCACCCCCATGCTGTACCAACCCCGTAAGACCTTCGTTCATCTTCGGAACACAAATAAAGATATTTTTGATTGAATCTGAGGGCTGGATCACTTTTCCATAGACAGCCTGAGGGACTGCCTCTTGACGGCCCAGAAAGTCATTAAAAGAAAAGGTTTAAATATTCCATGTGCCTACAGTGGCTCAACTATAATTTTATCAAGCGACGAGACTACTTTTTGTGCGAAAAAAAACACGTAAATAACGACTTTATTCGACTTTCCATTACTTCCTTATGGGCGCATGCGCGAGAACTGAGACGAGACCGTTCTTCTTCGACTACTTTTTGTTACCGGCTGCTCACCGCTTAGGAGTTTTACCGCCCCCTACCGTATAAGATGACGTACTGATATAGCCGGAGGCGCAAAACGTTCTGTTTACAAGTAGTACGTCATCTTATACGGTAGGGGGCGGTAAAACTCCTAAGCGGTGAGCAGCCGGTAACAAAAAGTAGTCGAAGAAGAACGGTCTCGTCTCAGTTCTCGCGCATGCGCCCATAAGGAAGTAATGGAAAGTCGAATAAAGTCGTTATTTACGTTTTTTTTTCGCACAAAAAGTAGTCTCGTCGCTTGATAAAGTTATAGTTGAGCCACTGTAGGCACATGGAATATTTAAACCTTTTCTTTTAATGACTTTCTGGGCCGTCAAGAGGCAGTCCCTCAGGCTGTCTATGGAAAAGTGATCCAGCCCTCAGATTCAATCAAAAATATCTTTATTTGTGTTCCGAAGATGAACGAAGGTCTTACGGGGTTGGTACAGCATGGGGGTGAGTAATTAATGACTTAATTTTCATTTTTGGGTGAACTAACCCTTTAAGTTGTCTTTGAGCAGAGCTGTTTTTCTGTCTGTCTTTTGTCAGGTTTAAAGCCAGGGACTGTGTTGATTACCAAACAGTCGGTGGATTCTGTGTTTCAGCCTCGCCTTGAGCAGATCATCCTGGGTAAACCAGTGGTCAGGAGCACAGAACTCGACGGGGAACTTGCAGAGGAGCTGCTTCAGTGTGGCAAAGACCTTGCAGAGTTTGACACCGTCCTTGGTAACACAATGTGCACCCTTGACTTCTACGAAGGTAGAATTATTTTAAAATACACTCTTAAATATAATAGAATGTTATGATAATATTTGCACTGAGGTGTTTGCTGTATTTAAAGGCACTGTCTTTGTACAGGTCAAGCGCGGCTGGATGGGGCCTTTTGCTCGTACAGCGAAGAAGATAAACAGAGATATCTTGCCGAAGCCTATGCCGCAGGGGTTCGTAACATCGAGATGGAGTCATCTGTGTTTGCGGCCATGTGCAAACTGAGCAATCTTCGAGGTATGTCGTTTTAACACACCAGAAATAGTTAATGAGTAATACATGCTTGAGTTTGTGTTATTCAATTGCAGTTGAAATGGGTGCTAGAGGTTTATGATCTTTTATTGCAGTTAGTCTTTTTGACCTCTTGTCAGACATTTAGCCTGCTACTGTTGTTTATTGTGGATGGGTTGAGATTTGATAATACGAGCTAAGAGCTATTTTCCTGTATTTTCAGCTGCGGTTGTGTGTGTAACACTGCTGGACAGACTGCAAGGCGACCAGCTGACCAGCTCTCACGATGTCCTGAATAACTACCAGCAGCGACCTCAGGCCCTGGTCGGACATTACATCAAAAAGAAGCTGAAAGCCTCCAAGAAACGCTAGTTCACTACTAGTCAGAAAGCTTTCCAAGCAAAGCTGAAGGTAGGGAACAGTATAGTGCAGTTTTGATCTGGACAATGATTATGTCAATATATGGTGAAAAGAAAAAATGCAGCACTTATAAGTTGACCAGTTTTATAAAAAAAATGACCAAAGAAACATAAATATCATAAAATGTTCTACGGTTCAACACACTGCAGTTACTTACAAGCTTATATAAGTTCATTCCTTGAATGCAATAGCTTCATTTACTCGTTTTGAAATGGCACATTATGTTCTTGAGGACGATTTGATTTGTCTTAAATACCGGCTATTTATTATTGTTTAAAATGCGCTGTATTTAAAAGGGAAAGATGTTTTATAAATGAGAGAGAACTAAGCAGTTTTAGCACTAGTTACTTTAGAAGAGTCCAAGAGCCTTTTTAAATAACAAACCTCTCTTGCTTATGTTTGTCACTGTATGGTTATGTTACAAACAAACTGCTTGTAAAATTCTACTGTAAGGATCACAAACGTCTTAAGGAGAAATATTATGTAATATTGAAGTAATTTTGCAATGTTTAACAGGCAAAGTGTTATTTTAATTATGTCACTGAATGTTTTGTTTTACACCATTCTGAGGAAAAAAAACACAATGATTAAATAATTTAATAAATGAAAGTTGAATGAAGTTAATTTGTCTCAAATGCAAAAAATAACATTATTATGCACATCAAACTTTAGAATATTTAAAATATGAAAATGTAATAGAGAGTATTAATAGAAACGTCTGACTGAGGACTGAGTTGAAGTACAAAAATATAACATTGCTTAATTGTGACAAAACATAATTTACACCCTTTGAACATCACACAGGACAAGTAAATCTCCTTCCATCTTATCTCACAAATTAAGTTATTGTAAAAAAGCACAATAATAATTAACTTTATTTAATATAGCACCGTCTTAAAGCTACACTGTGTGATTTTTACCCCCATCTAGCGGTGAAAAGGTATATGACCATCCAGTGAATATTAGTTTCTGTTCCTCTTAATTCCGATTTCGTTTTAACTTCTACGGTGGCCAATGTAGTCCAAGATTAACATGGCTTCCAGTTCGACCTCATCCATAATTGTTAACTCAAACGTAAACGCGAAAGGCGAAGCTTGAATTAACGGCTATGTCCCTCTTTGGCTAATGTGCTTTCAAGATGGAGGGGCAACATGGCGACCGACATTAGAACGCCTTACCCGTATGTATTTTCAATGGCATATTATACACTCACGAGAATACTTTATTACTTGAATGAAATAAATATACATTAATGAGCACACATATTTTTGAAAGAACAAAGTGTTTTTAGCTAAGAATAAACTAAAAGAGTAACACAGTGTAGCTTTAACATTTCACAAAGTCATCATAAATACAACAATTAAAGCAGTGTTTCTCAACTAGCAATCTATTCCAGCATGTTTGTGTTTGATCTGTGTTAATTACAGAAATATACGACTTTGCTAGACCTACTTTTATTCTATATTTCTTTGCAAAAAACTCTCTCTTTAATTAAAAAAAAAAAAAAATCCCAGGGAGCATACCCCCGTACTCCCCTTAAGAGATTACCCTACACATAATTAAATCCAAATTTAACCCCTGTATATATATATGACAAATATATATATATATATATAATATATATATATATATATATGACAAATTCCTTTAAAAAAAGGGACGCTGCTCCAGGGCTCCATACTTGGTCCAACCCTTTTTACTATTTACACGCTTCCCCTTGATCGTGTCGTCAGCCGGCATGGAATTCATTACCATTGCTGCTGACGACACACAACTTTATCTTCATATCACTCCCTCCGGTTCCCTCTCTGCCATCATTTCCCGCCTCACCTCCTGCCTGGAGGAGATCGGGGCATGGATGAATCAAAACTTTCTGCAGCTGAATGGCTCTAAAACAGAAGCCATCCAAATCGGAACACCTCACCACTTACGTTCGTCTCCTATCACATTTGTTTCTTTTCTTGGCAATACTATTTCTCTCCCTCCGTTACTAATATTGGGGTCAAGTTTGACCCATACCTTTCTTTTGACAATCATGTCATCTCAATCTGTAAAACCTTGTTTTTTCACCTCCGTAATATTTCCAAACTGCGTTCCTCTCTTTCCTTCTCTGCTGCAGAGAAGCTCGTCCATGCCTTTGTCTCCTCAGGCTGGATTACTGTAATGCACTGCTGTGGGGAATCCCTGGTAGGGGGGCTCCAGTAGTGCTGCCAGGGTCCTAATGAGGGTGCGGAAACAAGAACACATTACTCCTATCCTTAAATCCCTTCACTGGCTTCCTGTTCACTTCCGCATAGAATATAAGATCCTCTTGCACACTCACTATTGTCTTCATGGTGCGGCCCCCACATACCACACTGATCTCCTTTCCCGAAACACCTCTACCAAGACTAGAGCAGGCAAATGCCATATCCTGGTTATACCTAGGACACGGCTTAAGACTATGGGCGACAGGACTTTTAAAGCATCCGTTCCTCGTCTGTGGAATGCCCAGAACAACTCAGAGCTCCCAAGACTACTGATGTTTTTAAAAAACTTCTTTTTAAGTATTTTTAAGTATTTCTAAATGTGTGTGGGTATTTATTTATTTATTTATTTATTTTTGTAAGCACTTTGAGATTTGATGTCAAATGTAAAGTGCATTATAAATAAAATTCATCATCATCATCATCATCATCATCATCATCATCATGTCCATGGGGAAATGTGGGTCCAATAGCCTAACCATTGTCATAGCACACTTCTTTACACAACACCCCAGACCTCACTAATTTTCAGACCCTTATGGCCTTTCAGTGCCTTGCATGAGCATAAGGATTTTAAAATCAATGTGGAACCTGTCTGGGAGCCAGTGCAAGGACTTCAGTATTAGAGTGATTTGTTATATATCTTTCTTAAACCAACATTTGGTCCCAAAGTGTCAGTTTTATCAAAAACAAACTCTGTTCCCAATTTTGCCATTTTTATGATTTAGTTTATTTAATGTTGATGTTTATTAATTGTTATGAAATAACAATTACACAAATTATAAACTTTTCTACCCGGGTTTTAATATTACAGTTAATATTGTATTTAATTTTGTCATTGTAATGGATCAATAAAATTGAATGGATCATTGCTGTTTGCCATTGCTGTTTGCCATTGCTGTGACAGGTTGACCCGCCCCCGCGGCAGTAAATACGTCATCGGAGAAGAGATTTCGTTGCAAGGTGGAGGCTAAGTTATTTTGATTGAAGATTACGGTGGCATATGAAAACAAAAAAATGATGTTAACGGATATTTTTTTTTTTTTTTAATATTCCGTAACAAATAAGAATAGGCCTAGTCGATTTTGATTTAATGGTGTATTTGATTCCAACTACATGATGGCAAAAATATAGTGGACCGCGATAGTTCCAGCATCTAGCGCTCAATGAGATGCAGGTCGTTTTGTCCTCCCACACACGTCAGTGAAGTGAAGTGTTCCCGGTGGCCAATCTGCTTTTGCGCGCGGACTGGATCATAAGTCAGCCGCTCCCATTCCTCACATCTCTCCTCGCTCCTCATTGTGCTCTGCTGACTCAGTGCCTTAAGCATCATCCGCTCTCAACGCCACTGGCACAAACCACGACCATTGTGGAAATTAACACGGATTCAAGAAAGGACACCATGGCCAAAACAGCTATCGGTACGTGCCATTTTTTCACTTGCCGCATCATTCAATTTTTTGCATTTGTAAACGCGTCAATGGAGACTGAGTATATCTATGAAAAGATCCGCTGGGCGTTATACCATGTACGATCTATGTAGACTACATACAATGCAATATTAAAATATTTTCCATAGCCTATTCGTGCATCAATCACATTGTACAGCTATAAGCAACTGCGACTAGAGTCTAAGTTTACATTATCTGAGGCATCCTATAAAGCTACGTTTCGCATTTCCCCCATTAATATAGGTTTAGAATAATCAGTGAAGTGAATGTAACTTTCATTATGAATTAGAACAAATGTCGTACTGCGTCCATTTCTGAATTTAGTGACATGTATGGAAGATGATTGGCGATGGCGCACCTGCTCCTGCTGCCTCGCATCATAATGCAGAAAGACCGCACCCAAGAAACGCTGCCCAGACAATATAGCCATAAAACACACACACATACCTCCTCACGGAGCGTTTAACTTAATAAGACACATCTAACCAGCGATACTTGCTTTATATGGAGTAATCATGAAAATTAGAGCAGCTTTTTTGTTATGGATGTCATCGTCCTTGTTTGATAGTCATGAAGTCTGAGTGCTGTCATAGATTCTCATTCACACTCCATTTTATGCTTTAAAATAACCACTTCATGCATTTATAAACTGAAAGCAGATTGATGATGCTTGTCTTGAGATATAACACACAGGCCTGGCTCATTCATCACATGCATTGTTATAACAACATTGATATTGCTCTGCTCATTTTAATGTATAAAATGGATTAAACAATACAAATCTAAATGATCTATGTGTTTATTTCCCTAGTAAAATCAGCCTCTATTTTGTTGTGGAGTCTGGTCCATGCAATTCATGACCAGATGGCATGGGCAGATTTCACTCTGCATTTTTTTTCGGGCTCTGGGTGTCTTGTAGAATTACTGAAGCAAAGTCAAGTATCCTTTCCGAATCTATCATGGGCTGTTCTGTCAGGATGCATCGATCAGTGTAAGGCTGCCGAACCGTGGGCCTGCTTGCTGATATTGTTAAGAATGGCTGGGGAGTTGCAGGAGGAGGCCGAGGAGACGTAGATTGGGAGACCGGCCAGCCCTGCAGCAGTGGGATGCTGCATGGTGGCCTTTGCAGCACCAGACAAATAAGTATTGACACTATTTTGGACACTGGTATCTGACCCTGTCAGGAAATTGCTCCTGTGTGTGATTTGGACGTTGAAAGTATGGATTATAGATCATCCTAGATTAGAACTACTTGATGACTATCATATTTACTTGTATTTTCTTATACTTGTCTCCTAGTCTGACACCGAAATGTTCTAGCTAATGTGCTTGTAATCTGTAAAACGCTACATAGGGCAGGAAATGGGAAGTGTCATTAGTGTGCCTGCTGCATTTTTCATGAGTCTGCCAGCTCCATTTGTTTGAACGTAGAAAAGTCTCTCAGTGGACTGACTCCATTTTTATGTTTTGTTGTATTTCAGTATTGTGTTTTTCCCAAAAATGATTTTTCTAAGCTGTAAATGAAACAAAGATTATTGAAGTACAAGAAATTTCCCATTTAATTCAATGTGTTGCTTGCCATTTCTTTGTATTTGTGAAATCTACTAGCAATTTTCTGAGTGAAAATGTAAATACTACACTTTTTCTGTGTATATGATAGTGTTTTGTTCTCTGAATTCCTGATAAATCAACTTTTTTTCATTGTTCGTAGCTGTAATGATGATAATAATAAGCTTTGAAAAGAGCTAATGTAGCTAAAGTAGCAGTGTCGATCAGTCACTCAGTTGAAGCATCATAGAGACAGACACTCATAGATGAAGTAGGGTATGTTATAGCCCTCTAAATAGCTGTAGAGACCGGGCGATA